GTTTGTCACTAACTCACACGGACCCCCTCATGTATGAAAAATAACATTATCACCCCTTAAACTATGGGTACATATAACACAATCATCCCTTGTCGTTAGCTCCGTTCAACTTGCCGTCAAAATTGAATGACATCAACATATTATTTTAAATAACATTCTCTAAAATTCAAGAGAAAATCCAATAATTATCCGTCCCTTAAAATACACCCGATCCATCTTCAACCCCTAAATGCATCTAGCACAAAATCAACCCCCATTATTCCCCTCCCCCATCCAATCCTTCCACCCTAACCCCGTGTACCCATTGATGCAAAAAACCACCAAGAAGTATTTAGGGGAGAGGAAGGAGGAGAAAGAGAGAGAGATGCACAGTAGACTTGCTCCACCACTGAAACACCATCCACCCATATTTGCCACCATCTAGAAGACCCCAACCCCAAAATCTGCTATTAAAAACACCCAAGCCATCACTGAACCCCACACAGACAATTAACCAAGCCACAACAATCCAAACCCACTACATATATTCTATCCTTTTTGTCACCATTGATTCTACACCCACCAAATCTGTCACCATGAAGTAGACCCCCACCCCCAAATTCTCTACCACAAAACACCAAAACTACTTTCCGTACCACACCCATGCGACAGTTACAACTGCCTCCACCGAAATCACACCCTCAAAATCGACGCTGTCGTGACCACCTTCACCCCCAAAAACCTTAGCCACCATCGAATCCCACCCAAGTAATCATAGCAGCCACCACATCACCAAGCCGAGAGAGACAAAGGGGAGAGGAAAAGTCCTTGTTCATTGTTCTGGAAGAGAGGGTCGCAGTAAGGTAAAGTGCAATGGAGGAGGAATCGGTGCCTTCGATGGTGGTGATTGCTTAGAAACTGGGATGAAGTGGGATGGAGGTAAAAAAATGGGATATTTTATGGGTTTTGTGTTCGGGTCGGGTTGGTCAGTTTTGAATTTGAGTTTTTGTTTTATCTGAATTTTATCAAGGATAAAATAGACATTTAGCAACTTCTATTAGGTCTGTTAGCTAACTGTTACTGACAGGGGGGTTTAGTGTAATTTGTCAAATATGAGAGAGTCCATCTGTTTAAGTGATAAATCTTAGAGAGTCTAGATGTAATTTATCCTATTAATAATAAAAATAACTAAGAAGGCATCATTCAAGAATTTCACCTATGACCTCCGTTTTGCTTGGGATACCCCTGTCTAGGTAGATTTCATGCTTAGGCCGGAAGCCTCCAATATATGGACCTTTTCATCTTTCATTTATTTCTGTGAAAATTAGAAGTTAGTATTCTGCCAATCTTTTTTGTCAATAAGTACAAACATCTACATTTTAAGTCTTTTTTTTTTTTGTACATTGAAAAAGAAAAAAAAAAAAAGGGTAGCTAAACCCCTAGCAAAGAAACACTAGCAATATCATAGTAATATCAAAATTAAGTGACTTCCCCAAAGAACTTGGGAGAGTGTGGATAATCACTATTTGATTTTCCTGCTGAGATCCTAAGTTAGCGAGCCAATCAGCACAGAAGTTCCCCTCCCTCTAGAGTGTGGGATATGACGATGGACTTTCAATTCATTAGATTTTTGAGTCATTAAGGACATATCTAAGTGCATGTGATCCACACTTGTCAATTTTATATTTTTAATGACAAGAATATTCATTATCTTTATTACCTCATTTATCTCTCTCACATCTTCTATAACTTACGTCCCATTATTTATCTCTTTTTTATCTATTTTTTGCAATGTTTTCTCCTCTCTCTTTGATAGAGGTGTTAAACTTGTCGAGTTGAGTTATTTTGTGTCGGGTTAATTTCGATTTTGCTTCGAAAATTCTAAAACTCAAACCTGACATGTTTAATAATTATGTCGAGATGTGTAAACACTAACTTGACCTGACCATTAAATGGGTTACCTGAGCCCAACCTGTTTGATATGTTTAATAAACTGGTCATTTTTGAATTAATACACATAACATAATCTATTTAACTTGTTTAGTACACATAACATAAACTTATTTAACACACATAACATGTTTCTACACCAGTTCATTACCATTTAATACATCATTCAATCATTCATTCAAAATTTTAAATAATTTTTTTACAAATAACATATCACTTCTCCTCAATGAAATTAACTAAAATGCATTTAAGTTTTAATCCAAAAATTAAAGCAAGAAGTATACTAATATACTATCATAATAATATTAAGAATTATATTGTTAAATATCATAGTAGAAGCAAGAACTAATAAGTAATAATGTTAACACCACATCAGTCATATATAATAGATAAACTATATTGTCATAAATAGGTCTACAATAGGTTAGGTCGGAGTTCGTATCCGAATCTTGTCAACTCATTTAAAATATATAAGTTAATCAGGTCATGAACCCAATATAATTTTTTAATCTAGTAACCCATTTTAATCTAGTAACTCATTTATTTTCATGTCCAAACCATTAATTTTGTGTTTGATTTATATTGTGTTAACGTGTCGTGTCAAAAATTGACAACCCTACTCTTCGGACATTCTCTCTTCTACCTCTTATTTAAATTTATTTCTCTCCCTTCTATCTTTTAAACCACTCAATCTCTCTCATCTCTCTTATTTAAATTTTCCTCTCTATCTCATTTTTCTTCCATTTTACTCTTTCTCTCTGCTCTCTTCCTTCAATCCCCTTTTGTCATCTCTTTTGTTCTTCTCTCTTATATTTCTTATTTAAATTCCTCTCTTTCTTCCGTTTCACTCATTTTCTCTCCTCTCTTTTTTTTTAATTGTTCTCTATGATCTCCCTTCCTTCAATTCACCACCACGCATTCGTTGGATCCATAACAACGATGTGTGTTTTCTTTAAGGTAACAAAATTAACATTTATCATTATCATGGGATAGTGATATTGGGGTTTGTTAAAGTGATAATGCACGTACGACATTAAAGATGGCAAATGTGTATTCTATATGAATATTATTAAAATTTTATTTTTTATTTAAATAAGGGTAGATGAGTCTTTTGAAATGAAATTGTTGTTGAAGATCCAAAAGAAAAGTGTTTGGACCTCCATAACTTAATTACACTATATAGGACCCGGCTATAAAAAGCCCAAGAATTGTCCATTTTATAGACATGCATGTGGGCTTTTTATGTATTTAGCATTGATAGTGTAAGTTGTTCGCATCTCTAGGCTTCAAAAGAGACAAATGGTTATGCAATTGATTCTCAACTAGTTAAAGAGTCATTCTTCAATGGGAGGGAAAGGTGGAATAGGGGCCATAAACCTCCCCCCCCCCCCCCCCCCCCCCTCTCTCCTTTTCCTCTCAAAAATTAAGGAAAAATTGTAGAGAAAAGAAAATAAAAAAATAGAGCATTAGTTTTCATGGCTAGAATGCGACGAGTGTCTGTTGGGTACATGACTTCTTTCAAGTTGGGCTTTTACAACTCCGACAACAAACGAAAACTAAGGCTTGGCACAGGCCCATGGCCCACAAATTGGGCCAAAATCCGGAAATCAGTTGGGCCACGGTGCCGAGCCTAGTCAAAACAATTCACCAGATGCTTTTAATCTTCTGAGATCCAAAGACTTTGGATTAGTACTCTCCCTTCACATGTAATGTAATCCCCGCGGCACTATGCTTATCCAATCCTTGCCTTATTATTAGTATGATGAAGAACATAAAAACACCTCAACAAAATCATTGGCACCACACCCCCCCCCCCCCCCTTATAGATTCCACCACTATAGAATCTCCCATGCACACCATGTGGTCATTTTCACCATTTGTAGGATTAAAAACAGCCTCAAATCCTGCTGAAATGAAATATAAATCGGCAGGGGAGTGCTTACTTTTTTTATGTGCTTTATAGTGTGTGTATGTGTGTGTTTTGTTGAAAGAATAAAGAGCCAAATTACTACATTGTGGGTATAAATTCAAATAGGTTTTTGTATCAATTGTAATTGTTAGTTATCTCCATTCTAATCATAAATCTTGTATTAACGAAACACCCATTTTAAAATAATAGATTTTATCTGAATTCATGGATAATGGCGGTTTTTTTTTTTTGTGGATAATGACGGTTTAACGGGAGTTGGTAGGTAATTGAAATAAGAGGAGTATTACCCTAGTGGATTAGTCCAAAATTGTTAATCAATGGGCCTTTCCATATTGAAAGTACAATATAGAAAATTTAAGAGTAAACTATACATATAATCTTTAAATTATAATTCTTATGTTAATTAAGTTTTTGAATTTTTTTGTGTTAGTTGAACCTTTAAACTCTCTAATTATATCAATTGAGTCCTTCTGTTTGCCTCCATTATATTTCTAATGGAAAGTGGTAAAATGTGCTACTCACCGGACACAAATAATTTGAATAAATTACATATATAACTCTCAAATTATGACTCTTGAATCAATTAAGTCTCTAAATATTTTTGTGTCAATTGAGCCTCTAAACTCTCTAATTATGTCAATGAAGCATTTATGTCTTTTTGTGTTATATAGTCACGTGAGTTACATATTCTAACGAAGTGAGGCATAATTCTCTAATTTTGTCAATAGAGACCTTCTGTTTTTTTGTGTCATACAGTCACGTGAATGACACATTCAAAAGAAGATAGACAAAAAAAATTTAAGTGACACAATTAAAGGATTCAGAGACTCAATTAACACAAAAAAAAAGTTTAGAAACTTAATTGATACAAAAATCATAATTTAAAGAACATATGCATAGTTTACTCAAAATTTAATTTTTAAAAGAACATAATAAGAATTCTTAAATCTTGCGGGGTTTAAAATGTGATTCCCCCATCCAACTTTCCAGGCATAATAAGTTTCGGTACTTTTAGCAAATGTATGCCAATTTGACAGGGACAAGCAGGGGAATATGCGCACACTCTCTTAGGAAGATTCGTGCTCTAATTCGCATCTATGTTTTTCAATTGTCTGTCACGAGTCTTCTCCATATTTGGACTCCCCAATCCTTTGTCTATAAATACATACAAATTATATATACTACATTCGCATATCAGCACTTCACATTCTCTCTTCCCCCGGCTCGGGCACATTGCCACATCCCATTACTTTCCCAGGTTCTTTCTCTTTCCTATATGTCGGTGGGTGTCAAAAAATTTTAGAACTTGAAATGTTATTGACCCATTTGGTATTTGATTTGGTTGTTCTTAATTGTGTTGTTGTTAATGCTCATATCGAATAACCCACTTGGATTTATGTTTTGTTTTACGTATTTATTGGAAATGTGATGTGTTTGTGTATGAAAATTGCAAGAAAAACCAGAGAAAATAGGGTTGGGCAATTGTTTTGGTTCTGAAATTCGTAACGTACTGGTGGATTTTGGTTATGCTGATTAAATGCTGACTAAAATAGCTTCAGAAATGTAGAACAGGCTTGATTGGCCAATCCAATCTTCGGGGATGACTGAAAGTGAAATGGGTTTTCTTATGTGATGCAGAATTTTGTAGGCTTTTCTAATATTGATTTTATGCATCTGAAATTGACTGATGAATTGGGTTTAATATTCTCAAATTACTGCAATAGCCTGAGTGTTAAATTGTGCTGTCATTGGGTTTTAACTTTGGTAGTGATGTTCTTAATGTATGTTGGTACTTGTCTCTGTCGATAACTATTACACTCATCTTCTTCTTTTTTTTTTTTTTACCATGAAATTCGTAACACTAATCCTTGTTTTCCATTTACCTGGTGTTAAATCTGTCTATTTTGTTCGAAGAAATGCATAATGATCAAGCACGCAATGCATTTTAATTGATCTTCAGATATTAACACTATTTAGAACATATAACTCTACTGAAGAAATGGACATGGTTAAGACTAAAACTGACCATGGTTTTCCAACTATTGCTTTCTCCCATTCGATACTATTAAATATCTGACTCTACTGTCTCAAAAAAAAAAAATATATAGATGAACGTTTGTGATTATTACTTTCTCTTTCCACTCGGTAATTGGATGTTTTGGCCTTTGTTTATACTTTGCACATATTATTTGACTTGGGTTTATTAGGCAGGGTTGCTTGCTGGATCAAATTTCTCCTTATTGGGACCTGCATGGTCTTGTTGGCAATCAGTCTGGTTCGACTGATTGCCAAAACAGCTTACGAGTCCCCAGAGAGAGTTGAACATGAGTAGAGCCCTAGAGGGGGCACATGGACTGCATCTGGTGCCTCATTCACCGTTTGAATTGGAAGAGATAAATCAAGATGGGGTGTTATACCAGTCAACTTGTGAAAGTATGGCTGTTGGAGCTAATCGGAGGTTAACAGTGCAGTGAGTGATAGAAAATTTCTATTCATTTATGTTTGTGTTCATCTCTTAAATAAGTAATGATGAAGTTTCAGTTGCCTATTTGTTCTGAAGTTCATAAATCATAAGTGTGGGTGATGTTTGCCACTAACAGTACACTTTGTTTTTCAGGAGAGTTTGGCAGAAAAGACCTGGGTGTCTGAGGCCCATCCAGTGTTGTGTAAATGGTATCATAAGGAATAGATCTTTTTTATTTCTAAATTGCTAGTGTGAGTGCATGCTTCCTAGTCTCCTGTTCAAAAGTTTGCATATATGCTAACCCTCTTTTTGAAATTCTTTCTTAGGCGACAAGAATGTTGCAGAAACAGTTGCTAATGTGCTTACTTCACTTCCATTTATTGCTCTTGGAATGCAGGCTCCAAGGCAAGACATCCTCTTATTTTTGCAGGATAAAATCACCAAAAATTTATATTTCATCATCTCTAAGTGGTTGTTTGCTGATGATTCAGGAAGAATCTGAATTGTAAGATGTATGCTAATTCGTTGATTGGAGTTGGAGTTACCTCAAGTTTGTACCATGCCTCAAGAGGAAAACTAAGGAAGTATTTGAGGTGGGCTGACTATGCAATGATAGCAACAGCAACAGTGGTAAGTTATATATGGTTTAAATATTGTAAATAGAAAGAGATGGAAAATATTTTTCCAAGAATCTTGTGAGCGGATACATAATATTCCACATGATAGATTCAGCTGTGCTTTGCGATTAGCAAACCACACAAAGAACCACTGCATGGTAATTCCTAAATTGTAGGATGCTATCGTAGCTAGTATATACACATGCATGTATGCAACAAAATACACAATCACTTTCGTTACAGGAAGTCATTTCCTCCTCCGCCCTTCCTCCTTAATTGAAACCCGCATTATTTTTCTTTTTTTTTTATTTGTTATTTTCGGATACACAGTGATTCTGACATTTTTCGTTATTTCTCTAATTGCAACTTTTTTCTTTGGAATTAATTTCTGCTTTGCTATTCAAATATGTGCCCTAATGTGAGGCGGTTTTGACTTGTGCCTAGGTCAATCTATGAAGTGTTGGCCATAATGATTTTGCGGTAGTGTCCAAGAACCATTGGTTACTGACTTTTTATGGATTCCTATTGAAGTATCAATACTGCGTTGCCGTGTCTTCGTTTTCTATTTTTCATTTTTTCCTGAATATGGTCTATTGCTGTGACAAGTTAGTCAAGTCATCAACTTTAGTCTTACTTTTTTCACGTACCTTACTTCAACTTGTTGCCAGATAATACTAAATTGCTTGGACTAGATAATTTCGTGATCTGCAAATTTTGTTTAGTGTTGCTTCAGGGCTGCACTGTGAAAGAATAGCATGGTTAGTTGAAATCGAATGTTACTCACTATTAGATCTCCTCAACTGCCTTCTGCCTTACAGAGTTTTCTTGGTCTTCTTAATTTGTTATGGAAGGAAGCCTCTCTATGGTGATTGGTCAGGTTAAGCACCAAAACTTAAGCTTTTGGCGATGTAGTCATCCACCTTCTATTCAGAAATATGTGAATAAGTCAAAAGATTGTATGAGGTTTCATTTGGATTTTCAATATACATGATCATACAGTTAACTTATTGGCCAATGATATGGTGCTCTTGCTTTAGAAGAATTCATAGATACTTTCTAATTTAATTGTGGTCAGACAATCATTGTTAGTCATTTACTTTCTCTAGCTTTTGCTTTTATTTCTGAGAGGAATCCTCTTTCTTCCTTTCATAAGTCCTTTTTAAGCTATCCATGAGTTGTGGCTTCAAATCCATACACACCCCAAGAATATAAGGATGAAAAGGATAATGGTCTGATTATCTCACTGACATAAAAACTTGAGACTGGAATTGTTTTGCAGTGTCTGTCAAGGGCACTCAGGAATGAGAATCCAAAGTTGCTGATGGCAGCATCAGCTTTGGTTCTACCCATCAAGCCTCTGATGGTCACGGCTGTTCACACTGGGATGATGGAGGTAAACATTTGTATATTTACCTGGGTGGTTTACTGGGTAGATTGACATTCAAAATTACTGTCTCCTCACATGCTATATATTTTGATGTAGTGTCTTACACAATAGTAATCTAGATATTTTTTGCTGAAAAATGTCAAATCCATAAACAATATTTGTAATATGTGATTTCATAACTGTCACTTGCACTAAGTTTGTAAGTAGAATCAAAGATATAAGCTATTTGGCTATACATAACTTTTTGGTGTTATCAAAACTCTGTTTGGCATGCAAACACTTACACTGTAGAAACGTATTCATGGAGGATGTTATATCTAGGTTTAAAACTCATGATATTGTAATCACTTTACATGGTCACATTTACTTCTCTTTTAGAATTGTATTCATGAAGGTTGTCATCGAGACTCCTCTCTGAGTGAGACTATATTTCTTCTCTTTTTCGCAAATGCTTTCTCTCTAGTCTACTTTTTTTTAAGGACCATGAATAGCTTGGAGTTGATCAGCATACTAACCTCAGTGCTTTGAGACCTGAGGTTAGGTTCTTTTCTGCATGGCAGAAACCACGGGAGGGAATGAAAGTTGATGTATTAATCCAATTGTGTAGCTCGGATGGGAAGACTCACACAGTAGTACATCGAGGTCCCAAGTTCATCTCTCGCAAGAGAGCCATGGATTAATCCATGTGCATAGCTTGTGGGTGATTGTGCGCATCCAGATTTGCATTGTAACCACAAGTCCAAATGGTGAGTGGTTGGGACGGTTTTTCGCGGGTGATTGCCCGCAACTTTTAGTTCTCTTTATGCTTCCACTTGATGCCACCTAGATTGGTCCTGGGCAGTGTTACTTAGGTTGCACCCACATGCATGTGCTTACTTTGCTCTCAATGTTTGCTTACGGTAGCTTCTTTAGCCTTTAAATGTCTCTCTAACCTCCTGCACTCCTTTTATTTTTGACTGAGGTCTTTTGCACGGGTATTTGATCTTATCCGAGTTTGTTAGAACATATGTAGTTAAAATGTTTCAAAAAAAGGCAATCAATCAGCTGACTTGTCATGTCTTCACCAAAACAATAAAGTATGACAACTAACAATAAATGATCTGAATGGGCAGTGCTGCTTTCATTTACAAGGTGCACCTAAATCATTGACTTGTGTGATTTTGTCTGTAGTTTGTGTATTTTGTCTCCTGTCGTGATGAAGTATTTTACATAAATAATTTGTCACGATCTATCTCTTCATGTGTTGGTCATGCTGATCTTTAATAGGAGGAACAATTTCCGATTTTCCTTCCAGGTTGCATTTGCGAAAAGAGCATTTCAAGATCCAGACCTGAGGATGACCCACAATGTGCATAAGATGTCATCACTCTTAGGAGGTGCACTTTTCATAGCAGATGATTTCTTCCGTGAAACTCCATTCCTTCATGCTGGCTGGCATGTTGCTGCTGCTGTTGGAGTTAGTACCTGTAACAAGCTTCTCGATTAATGTAGATATTCTATTATCCAATTTGCCGAAAATGCCTGGATCTCTTATGCAGAAACCAACACCACATCAAGCTTCAACCTGTGACAATATATATAAAGAAGAAAAAGAGGGATGTGCTATCTCGGGTCAGCTTATTCAAATTCAAATGTTGACCCATATTGGGTTACTCAAAACTCTATCTAAGTAAAGTATGTTTTGAGTGAGGTGGTTCAGAAATGGAAAATTAGCACAAGTTAGATTGAACTGTATGTATACCATAAACCAATGGCAATGTCCGTTGCCTTGTATCCTGGATAAGCAATGATGAGGAAAACTGGAGTTCATCCAAGTGTTTGAGATTCTTTTTAAAGCTACTCTTGTATTGTGAATTTTTCTACTATCTCATCTCCTAGACACAAGTTGACCATCACTTCCAAGTTTCAGAGGTGATCCATTGGTTTTTGACTGGTCCCTCTTACTTGAACCCTGAAATTTGGTTCCAGAAAACTCGATGGCGAACAGATCACAGCGCAATTATTTTAAAAACCCAGAATGATGCAGAAAAAAACCCACCAAGTTTCGTTGCCATGTTTGAGATTGTAGTTATCCTAACATCAGATAGTATAGGTCTTTCCTTTGAAAAGAAACTGTTTTTGCGTCTGCTGACATTATATATGATTTGTTCTTGTTTTCCCTTTAGCTCAGGTCATGAAGGTTCAATGCTACTCCATTTCAACATATATACCTCAATGAGTACTCAAGGCTTTTATTCACCTCAATGAGTATTCATTCTTGTCATAGAGTCACCTTCTATGGTTGTCTCTGATTGATGCTGCTGAATTCCTTCTGGTTGATGCCATAGTCTCTCAATCAGTTGATACTATAGCTTAATTAAATCATAGATATAACATTCATTTTGATGGAAGGCGATTGATTTTGGACCTAATTAAATTAAATATTTTAATGGTAGATTGTCTATCATGAATTAAAATAGGAACCACTATATACAAGTGGGTTAAACACCAAAAAACTACAAATGATTTAGTATAGGGAGAATGCACGATTTCAGGGAAAGACTATGTATCGTCGGCAGTATGATATCGAAAATTATAATTTTTAACGCTAAGTTATAATTTATAAATAACATGATCAATCATAGAAGGTTAGGATCGATACCGAAAGTTATAATTTTTAAAGCTAAGTTATAATTTTTAAAAGTCAAATTACAACTTATAAGGAATAAGTTACAACTACTCAAAGGAAGTCTATGATTGATCATTGGTATCTGTGATTGATCATACTCTTCCTTTGAATAGTTATAACTTATTCTTTTCAAAGTATAATTTTTTCATAAAAAATTATAATTTTTCATATAATATTGAGATTTTTTTTTTTTTGATCTCGTAGATTTTCCCCACAATATCATTTGGGTTTTGAATCTTTGATCCTTCCCATTTCTAATTAATGGCCAATGCTGGATTCCATAATAGTTATAATACTATGGAGATCTAAAAATTTGACATAATTTATTAACATAATGGTGTGGTTTTACTATAACTTTTGGATAGATTGCGAGTTCCATCAATTATTATAACTTAATGTTAATTCAATAATTTCAATGAAATCACATCATTATATCAAAAAATTATATTAAATTTTTAAATTTGAATAACATTGATAATAGTACAATTGAGTCACATTCGTGAAAGAGAACTCTACTGTACTCACCAGTCACCAACTTCTGTATAGCCGATTGAGCAACATGACAGCTTTTGGCAGTGAAGGACCAAAACAACAACCCCCACAGTGTTTGAGCCCATAACCATCGGACAATAATGAGATCAACAATGTTCCCACCCCATTCCCCCATGCAGTATATGAATAAGAAATAATTCTACTCTAATGATTTCAGAAAATCATTTGATTTAGACAAACACTTGAAAAGCTGAAATGGATCATTCCACTTTTATTACTTTTATAATGAATAGCTATAATTTAATGAAACTTTGAAAATAATATATTATATATCAAAATATTTTATTCACTTATCTCGAGCTACAATAAAAGAGAAGTGGTGTGTTCAGTATGTAATAATCAGCGTAAAATTTAATCAAATCCATCATGATGAGTCTAAATAATGATACATAGTCAACCCTAACTAATTAGGATATAAAACTTAATTTGATTTGGTTAGTTGATTGATATTGTAAGAGGGAGAAATTTTGTAACTATGATGAAACTTATGACCATTATTATGAAAATTTAATGACCATTTGATTGAATTGAGTGCATTTTTTTCTTATAAAATAAATACACTATTATATATCAAGATTTGTTTGATTGGTCAACGACATTCTAATAATTAAAACAATAAAGAATTTAAAATTAAGGAAACAAATGTCAGAGAAAAAAAGTATTTACTTTAAACTTGAGCTCATTCGATATTTACAAGATTTTTAATTTCGTAATTGAACCTTTCTAAATTTTGTTTCTCATTAATCGACCTTTTAGGTCACGTGTTCATGATATACACTTTTAGAATAGATAGTTTTCTTATTACCCGCTCATGATCACTCTCTCATCATTAGAGATCACTAGTTATCCTCTGTTCGGTTGGACTATTTTGGCTCAGCCAGAGATATTCTGTTTTTACCAAATTTTTCTTTTCAAATTTCTGTCACATGTCTTATGTCACGTCCCTTCATTAATTGATCTAGTCATATAAATATATAGTTCCGTTTAATATATATATATGTTAGCGATACTCCATGACTGAAATCACTAAATATTAAACTATGATATTATATATGTATTGGAGTGTGTGTGTACAACTAGAGTGTATATATAATATGTGTGTGTATGTGTAGTGAGTACGTACTGAAATATGTGTAACTATGTGTTGTGGAATATTTGTGTTGGATTTGTAAAATTTGGGAGGGAAAGTGTGTGAAATTTGGGGAAAAAAATATATCCCCCATAAGTTCAAACACCTAATTATCTTATTATATAAATATACTAAAAATAATTGATTATCGTATCAAAATATCACTATTTGGTACCATACTTTCACTTTTCATCTAATAAAATGTGTTGAGTCTAATTTTTTTTATTTTTTATTAATTTATAATTTTTTTAATCAATGATTGCAAATTCTAAGAATCAAAATCAGCTGTCAAAGTCAATTTTCGACATTGTATCTAAGTGAAAATATTACCTTAGCCAAGAAACATTTGGGTAACATTACAATATCGAAAAACTTTTATGGTATCATATTGAAAATTATTATTTTTTAAATTTTAAGTTACTATTATTTAAAATAATTCATGATCGATCATACCATATTGTAATCGATCAAAAATTACCTTAATTAGAAATGATGATACCAAAAATTAGTCATGACTAAGCTCAAATCTCTCAACTCATGATCTTTAACTCGGGACTCGCAGGTCGAAAATCGTCACCGATGCAACCCTCGTGCACACAGTGACAATAATAGCTCGTATCTTCTAAAAAGTCACGTCATGCCTAGAGAATATAGTTTTTAACGGTCAAATATTCCAACACATGAGATGTAACAACCTCAAAGGAATTAAGCTGATTATGCAAGGATCACGTTTGTAACAGGAGGATAGCAGAAATCATGCAAGACAACTATATATCATAAATAAGGATCAAATCCCTCACATTGTAATCAACCAAACATTTGTGTCATCATCTCCATATAAACTCAAGAGCTTAGAAACTTGACCGGATATTCCAATAATTCCCATCAACGTGTTTAACAAGATCCCTGAACCATTCACTTCTACGCAACCTCGTAAAACCCACCATCAAGTAGTAATTTTTTTATTTATAAATTATAACTTGGTCTTTAAAAATTATATTTTTTATGATCAATCATAATATTTTAAAATTTATTATGTCTTTTACAATGTAACTTACACCCTCACAAATTATAACTTAATTTTAAAAAATTATAATTTTCAATACCAATTGAGAGAGAGAGAGAGAGGACAATTTGAAATGAGAAGAATTGTGAAAGGTATGTCACAGAGGAGGCTGTGACAGTGTGCATTGTTGGTGTAAAAGGGTGAGAAATGCATACGAAGCTTTTTACACCCTTCTCATCATTGTCACGTCGCTTTTACCCTCACTGTCTCTCCCCATTCACATTTGCTTTCCTTGTCCTTGCTGCCCTCTCTCTCAATATGTCAACCTTTGTCCTCCTTTGTCCCTTTTTTTCTCTACCATGTACTTTATTACCAAAAAAAGTACCGTGTGCAAAGGTATTCTATGAAATTAAATATTAGTTATATAATATAATAATTTTTTTTTAATTACATAATCTAAACTTAAAATGTATATAGAGAAATAAGAACAAATAAGAATAAGTATGGATTAATTATATGTAGGATTCCTCTTACTCTTATATTTCTCTGCAAATTGGACAAGCTATTCTTCTTTTTATTTCATTGAATATCTGACCTCTCGTGTCTCCATCTCTGCAAACCCCGAATACTAACTTCTCGGGCTTCGTTCAACTTGGGATGTAGAAGCCATTTCTCTACCTATCTCAGAGGGAGAGAGAGAGGGGAACATGTAGCAGTTCACTTAATCCTACATTATTACCATCTATAACCCGTGCATAAATTTATAACCTGGTGTATTTGAGTACGTTACTATCTGGTTCTTCTCTCATTTCAACAACTGTAAGTACCATTCTCTCTCTCTCTCTCTCTCTCTCTCTCTCTCTCTCTCTCTCTCTCTCTCTCTAGTCTACAATGTGGATGGTGGGTTGTGATGCTGAAGAGTTTAAGATTTCTCATTCACCAAACACTCGAAAACTTCGGCCTCTCATGCCCAGGCCTACTCCTAACAATACCAAAAGGACTACATATTCTACAAAACCAACTCCTTACTGTGATCGAATTCACAGTGCTGATATTTTTGCATGGAATCACCATAATGGTATGTCGCCATTTTTCTCTTACTTTTTTCTTTTTCTAGGAAAATCGTTTCAACTACGTATCTTTTGAACCCGTGATGAGAGTTTGTTCTTGCTACAGTTGCAGCAACTGAGCAGAGCCAGAAAGCGATAACCACAGAACCCTTAGTGAGTTCAAGGTGGAACCCAACTCCAGATCAGTTACAAGCCCTAGAAGAGATGTATAGAAGTGGAATAAGAACACCCACGGCTGATCAAATCCAACAAATTGCTATAAAGCTTCGTCAGTTTGGTAATATTCAAGGGAAGAATGTGTTCTACTGGTTTCAGAACCACAAAGCAAGAGAAAGGCAAAAACGACGTCGTACACTAGAGATATTTTCAGAACAACAACCACATAAGATTGAAAACCTACCGAGAAAAGAATCAGGTAACAACATACATATGATTAATGCCCAATATTCTCACCATTATTGCTATTTATGTATCGGCACCAACTTAAAGTTGAATTCCTTTTGTTTTTTCTTTCTTTCTGTCTGCAGGTTTTGAAGTTGGACAGAAGAACTGGGCAACCCCTTCAAATTGCAGTACAATTTCAGAGGTTTCAATACTGTTACATTTTTCTCGTGTTTTTTTTTTTCATCTTTGCTATCAGGTGCGCAGACTTGTACTAATTACTCCTTTAAACTCAACAGCTAACTACCATGGCTTAAGTTGAATTAAAACATATCCTTAAAAAAACAAGAGTGACGAATACTAGAGGTTGTGAGAAAAAATTAAACTTGAGATCTTATATATTTATCTTGTTCTTGTTCATGTTATAACAAATTTAAACTTAGTTAATCAGAGATATCTACTCGATATCCCTAACCAATCGATACGGGACATTCTTTCTCACCCAATTGGCTCGGGCCAACCTTGATTCTTGCATTGATAGTATTGTAATTAAGTGGATTGTACTTTGATACCACTTGTCATGGGTTTCATAATCCAAAAGTTTAAACTAATATATAGACAACTGCACGCCTAAAGTCTTATGAACCCGTATGACACATGCACCACTCAACCAACATGGAATCTGTCACCTCTCTCGCTATAACAAGGTCTGAGTATGAAGTAACTCGTTACTAATTCAACGATTATGATGTATTAGAGTAATAAATTAAGTCCAAATATCATTTTACTTTGTGAAATGGATAAAGCATAGGGGTAGAAAAGCTGCATTCCTTGCATTCTGTTAAGGGGGCCTGGAGACAATTATTTGCAACGAAGGATAGATTTTTTTGGACAGTTGCGTGAAACTTAGTTCGCTTTAATTATTTTGTTGTCTTTAGGAGTCTGAATCAATACACAGAGCAGTGGTAGCTAAAAGCAGACCAGATGGGTGGCTTAAAATTGAGGAGAGAGAATTGCAGCAGAGAAGCAGCAGCAGCAGTGCTACTACTGCTGCTATTACTGCATCAAAGAATGCAATGTGGCAGATGACAAACTCAAGCTCTATGTCTATGTCTGTGTCCCCCACCACCAAACTCATCATGAAGGGCATAACCACAACTGAACAAGAAGATCTGGGAACAACAGACCCAAAGCTGAGAAGCACTCAAAATCTATGCCTATTAGAAGATCTCACAATGGTTGAAGATGGTGAAACTAGAGGGTTTCAAACACTTCAGCTCTTTCCAATGAAAAGTAGTGATGATTGTGGTGTCCTTAAGGGTGACAAAAATGATAGTGTTGAAGAACCCATTACGGCTACCATAGCCATAGGAACACACTTCAAGCCAAACAAGTTTTTTGAGTTCCTGTGAAGAATTGGTAGAAAAAAAAAAAAGAGAGAGAGGATATTGCTAGCTTTGTGGTTCAAAAGAAGAGGTTTGTTGCTTTCATGCATGGCTGTGATGATAAAAACAGCAAAAATATCGTTTTGCTTTTGTCTCTAGGTGGAAATTGGGACCTTCTATTATTTATTTACAAGTTGGATGATAATGAAACAATTGGATAATGACATACGGTTATTATGGACAGGGACCCACTCTAATATATATATATTTTTATTTTATTTCATTCTAGTCAAATCACCTATTATTAATTCAAGTGAAATTCATTGTATATAAATAAATCTTTCACTGCCATCGATACATAATAGATGATTTGACGAGAAAAACAAAAAAATTTATGTATTGAATGAGATTTTGATCCGTATGTTATGCTCATTTTTAACTACCACATTCTTAATCTATTGTAATTTTTGACTTAATTATTTGTCACGTTATTGTTACTTGCATAAAAACATGGTTTTTATTTTTTTGGTCTCACACTATTACAAAGAAATGGAAGCAGGGGACGCTGAAATTCGAATTCGAAAACTGCTAACCTCACATTAAAAATGTGTTTTTTTGGTCGGATACTTACTAGTATTGTAGTTCTATGTTTTATCCACTAAAAATATTACACATAAAAAGTTATTTATTTTATTAATTAGTTTGCATTATTTTGGAATTTTTTTTAATCAATTGTCACTAATCATTAAAACGAATAAACAGTTAAAGATCAAGTTCAAGTCCAATATTTTTTATATTTTTTAAAGGTTAGTTATCCTTATTTCTTAAGGAACATGTTTCAAACCTATTAGGCTACAATAACCAACATTTAAATTTTATAGAGTAATCAGTACAAGTTTGGACATCCTATAACCTTTAAAAAAAAAAAAAAACTCAATACAACAACTACAAGTAAACTTAATGGAGGTAAAGGAAAAATTATTTGCTACAAATAAAGAATCGAAAAGAGGCTGTCAAGGAAATATGTTCAGTTAAAAAAAAAAGGTAAACTAAATTTGACCCTAAAAAGTGATGAGATCCACCTTAAAAAATGTGAAAAATGAATCTAAAAACTAATAAGCAGACTCAAAATGCAATTACACCCAAAAGTTTAGTAAACTCTACCAAAAAATAACATAAATATCTAAAAAATATTAATGCTCCGTATGGTATGATGAAAAAAATAGAAGAATAAAAAGTTGGAGGGATAAACAAAACATCATATTTGGTAAATATGGAAAATATGCAGAATAAAAAAATGGATGTATTAACTTTCCTTCCAACTCACACAAATCAATCCCTCCAAAATCGGAAAGAAAATGAATGAAAAACTAATTATTTGTGTTGAGATGTATCTTATTTATCTTTTTATATATACATATACTATGTATAAATTAATTTCATATAAAAATACAATTATAAAATATGTACTTATATATATATTAAAAATTTTTGAAAATAAATTAATAAATAATAAATTAAAATAAAATTTTTAAATTTAAAAAATATTTTTTCCATCTTAACTAGGAGTGAAATTTTTTAACTTAACACGATGACACAACTTGAATTCGAAACAAATTTTATAACACGAATTTGATTAACTCAAACACGAAAATAAACACGTCAACTCATAATTTGACACGACACAGTTAGTTAAATGAGTTGAGTTAGGTGTGACTAATATTTGAGACAAACCCGTAATGACTCAATACGAATCTGACACGACACGACTCGATTGTCATCCATATTCTTAACCAGCACACACAAAAAAAATTAGTCATTTTTATTTTCTATTTATCCAACCAAACACAAAGGAAGAAAATTGTATTATTTCTATTTTTCTTCCTTGAAAGACAAAAAGTGTATCTCTCTTACTTTCTATCTCCCTTCTTTTCATCCTTCTTACGAAACGGAGTATAAGTAATTTTGTGCCATAGTCAAAACCTAGAGTAGTCGGCCTTTTCATCGGGGTATGTCTGTTGAACAAATATATACGAAAGAACATGAAAGAAAAAAAAATCAGAAGAATAATTCAAGACGATTTGTAAATTAAGACATCTTAAGTTTAAATTTTAACAATTATTTGAGATCAAGTCATGAAGAATTTATCACTCATGAGTATTCTAGCTCCGGATTTAAATAGTCTGTCTTTGATTAGGCCGGAATAGAGATTAATTTATATACACTAAAATTAGTTTAGACACTCTGACCGTTAAACTAAAAACCTATATATGAAAGAGAGAGAAAAAGATGTACCGAACACACAAGAGGGTGCGTATTGCCGAGGAACCCGACCGTGGGATCTACACAGATTCTATAGGGAACTGGCATTCAATGGCTTGAGCCCAAAATTAGGGTTACTGGTTTCGTCCATCACTCTGTTACACTGCCCTGTCTTGCCCCCAATAAGATGCAGAATATCACCGGTTCACCACGCTCCAAAGAACCAATAAGTGAATGGAAACAATCAACCATAAAGATACCCAAAAAAAAAAAAAATATTGAACAAGTTACGATGCAACAAAGATATGACTCAATAAGATATATTAAATTTATGGTTAATTATAAAAATCTCTTACGAATCTACATTAGTTAAGGATTATATGTATATGTATTAATTTCAGGGCACCTTACAAATTTTAGGGCACCTTTTATTTGTAAGCAAGTTTTCAATGAAAAGTTTTACTCATAAGTTTATAATAATTGATATCAGAGTTAGTCACCACGTTGAGTATGAGTATCGAACGCAGTGTAAACTATAACTCTTTGTGGCTCAGTCACAAAAGGAACGATCTATAGGCTGAATTAAGATGATCTGGTATTATGTATGAGCATGATGTTATTTGATTGAATACTAATAAGTGAGTGAAGCAGTCAAAGATAAAATGATTATTGTTTGGTCAGTGTCAATAGAAGAGATTGTTGTATACATCAACTATGAAAGTGTGATGGATTATTATGATCTTACATCAGTTAAAAATAAGATTAGATATGCATATGTAAACTCTTGAACATCATTTTTTTACAAACTCATTTTCAGCGACAAGTTCTACTTATGGATTTATAAAATTTTGTATTAAGATCGATCGTTAGAAAATGGAATCCATTCTAAATTTTTTAGATCAATCTCAATTCTACCCAACTAGAACATAACTCTAGTTGTTTGTTGACCAATGTTATAGAAATCTTATTTTATGACCTAATGTTGTGGTTTCAATGTAATTATTAGATTAGTTGTGAGTTCTAATGTTAAATGAAATTCACAATCAATCTAATAGTTGTATTGAATTAGGTCCCTAGATTAAGTTCTCAAATTAAATTCAAATAACATTTTTCTTCTTTTAATTATAATTTGATGTAATTTTTTTTTTTTTTGAATCATGCTCATTGCTGCATCGAATCTGATACCGCCCTTTATTTTTAGTGTTTGTCTGTGGGGACTATAAGCTAGGTGTAGGAATTCAAAGCCGGAGGGATGGGAATTGAAACATCACATCTTAGGTTTGGTAGCCAATTGTCTGTCTTTGCCTACATTTCCTGCATCTTTAGGTTTAGTAGGCAATTGGCTGTGTTCTTGACAAGCCAGCGCCAAAATAAGTAACCTCTGACAGTTTGGATCCTCTTGGAACTTGTTTCAATTCCCAGGACAGTTATTTTTTGAAGAATTCTCTTACTTGGCCATTTGGGCTCCTTTTGAGTCTGAGTTAAAATTTAAAAAAAAAAATTATTATTTATCATTTTTAAAGATATTTTTTATCACTAATTTTTTGGATAAATATATTTTTATCATAACTAATTTTATTATTTTTCTTTGGTACAAAAAAAAATTACGTTTTTTGGGTGATTTATCACTCTTGTAGGTGTTTTTCATTACTGTTGTGATAATTATTTTTACCATTTTTGTGAGTTTTTTTTATCACTATTTTGGTAATTATTTTTATCAATTTTTTTTGATATCACAACAATAGTAAAAATACTCATAAAAATAATAAATATTACTATGATACTAAAAAAAAAATTTGGTACAGTAGACAACTCTTAGTACCATACCTTTATCCAATATTATCAGAACCGGACCGGTCATTGAACTGGCAAGGGGACCGAGTCAATGGTTCACTAGTTCAACCGTTGGGTCAACTGGTCGGACCGGTCATATAATAAAAAAATAAAAAAATATATATAATAATTATAAAACTTAATAATTTAACTAAAAAATATAAAATATGTATAAAATACATAAAATTTGCCATAAAATTAATGAAATTAGGTAACAAAGTGGGGGTTATTGTATTTTAAAGTAAAGTAAAAATGTTCAAGTAAATTATAAAGAAAAAGAAGGGGTGTCATTTATAATTTTTTTAAGAATAAGGTTAAAAAAAATCAACTATTTACTGATTTAGGACAAAAAAATTTATTTATGTAATTTAATTTTTAAAAATCGGTTTTTGTTAAAAATCGGCCGATTTTTCAGTTTTTAGCCGGTTCGCTTCCTTAAGCGGTTCAACTAAGAAATCGAACTGGTTAAGATCTCGGTTCACAGTTGAACCGGTCCGATCGACCGATTCAATCCGATTCTGATAACACTGCCTTTACCTGTGCTAGTGTCTTTTGGTTCAACTACGAACAAGAGGAAAGATAATAAAAAAATGTTATGTTGCCTAAGTTTTAGCCCAAATCTTGCATTTTAAATGTACGAACACCACACAATAAATAAAAAAATTAATATTTTGGGACCTACAAAGTAAAAAGTTGTCACATGGCCATCGGCATGTTGTAACCAAAAAAAAAATCAATTGGCGTAGGCCAACTCATTTCAATTAAATATTTAAAAATTAAGAAGAAGAAAAAAAATTTAGAAGGAAAAATTTCTTAATCACTCTCTTTTAAATTGATTCTTACAATCTATACTATAGTATAAAATATAGATAGATACAATAAGAGAACCGTACATATTCCCTCCAACTTTAGATTATGTACAATCAATTCCC